TTCCCCCCCCCCCCCTCTTGGACACCCCCCTCTTGGCCGCTCCCGATATGTCCGTGACAATGACGCGGTGCCGCCACTGGGGCGTGGATCGGCAGCGCGAGCTACGGCCGCGACTTAGGAGGTCGCGGTGCCATTGGCGCGTGGACCGACGGTGCGAGCCCGCGGAACACTTGGGACCCGTCTGGCGGCTGGCAGGGAGGAGCTCTCAGGGAACGGGATGTCGACGGTTGGCCGCGAAGAGGATATCGCCCGCTGAGCGAGCAGCGCCGGGCGCCCCGCGGGCCTGTCGAATCGAGTAAGAGCACTCCAGATTTCGTAATAAAAGGGAGGGGGTCTGGACCCTCCAAGACAAGCCATTTCAGACCCCCCCCGTGGGAGAACCCTCCAAAACGTCGTCCCCAGACCCCCCCAGGCTCTCCAAGATAGCCTGGAAGAGACCCCCCCCGAAATGAGACCCCCCTCCCTTTATTACGAAATCTGGAATACCTCGAGCCACCGGCGCAGCGAGATAACGTGCTGCCCGAAGGGGCCGCGCTGTAAATTTTTTTGTCGCTGGTTGCGCGCCCCGGCGAGGCGCGCCGAGGCCTCGCGCGCGAAGGCCTCGGCTGCCCCGTGGCCCGCCGCGGGGGGGAGTCGTTCTTCCTGCTCCCCCCTACCTGCTTCTTCATATGTGAGCTTGCGCACGTTTGGCTCAAGTCAACACTTGCGAAACTGAGGTGCGAAGCGCTTTGGCGGGAGAACGGCACGCGCGCGGTCTTCCTAGTGCGCGGGCATATCACTATCCAGTCCCACATCTATCTAGCAGAACATGAGAGCCACGTCGCAAGACGTCGTGGGGGGAACATCCGTCAACAATGTCTTGGAGAAGAAAACTCGGAGTTTGGATATCCGAGTGAGGAATATGCTCGAACGTTAGAACTGAAGGGTTATGTTGCAAACCGCAGTCTGAAGCATTGAATCAATCAGATGGCAAACAAAACAAGGAAGCAACACACAGAATCTTGCGTGTTACAACAGTACGCAGACAGGGCCGAATATCTGCAGGACAGGGTCAGAGGAGAGAGGATAGTAGTATTCATTAGATGTAGGTATGGAAAGGCAAGCTTGGTGTCTTTGCGCCGCATCTGACATTCTCCCTCTGCCACCCATCATTCTCGATTACGCAAAACTGTGTTATATCAACCGCTTGGGGCGCCATAGAAATAGTAGGGTGTCCTAGGCGACCTTTGATACCGAAACTGCAGTCTCAGATTTCGACCCAGCGTTTGCTGCACAATTGTCAGGGCGGGTCGTTTTTTTTTCCATACATGAGGGTGGACAATGAGGAGGAGGAGGAGGAGGTGGAGGAAACGAAGACGGAGTTGCAGCATGGGGAACAAACATTGTATCGACGAGGAGCGAACCGGCCTCGGAAATGTGGCCCTCGTTGCGAGAGCGCCGTTCCGAACGATGCATTCCGAACGACAGAAGCAATGCGCCGATCCTGAAATGTGGCCAATGCCGCAACGGAAACACAGACCGAAAACGCCCCGAATGGAAACGCGCACACATAGGAGAACCATAACATGTGGCATCACGTTTGGGTAACAGCTCGCACGATCCAGGACTAGCCAGGAAATAACGTAGGGCGTACAGTAGCAGTTGTAATGCCACATGCAGTTGCCCCTTTGATGTTAAGAGGAGGGCTTCAGCCATTTGTGATTGGCTCCGCATCGGGTTGGCAATCGGCTTGTTTCATCCGTAAGGGCTTCGCCCCCTGCCGCCGGCCCCCTCTCTCGGAGAATGGGCCATGGAAGAGCTAAGTCATGAGGCCTTGGCGCTGTCGTGAAGCAGTATCGAAACTTCACGCGAAGCCGAGTCGCAATCAGCAAAACCAACTGATCACAAGAGGGGTTACCACACCTGGCGATTGGTAAGACGTGTATGGTTTAAGGGCTTGGTTACCACACCTTGCGATTAAAGGGCCGAGGGAGTTCTCGCAGTTTGGGTTACCACGCCTTGCGATGGATGTGCGTGATGGGTTCGAATTTCAGAAATGTGGCAAATCCCATGTGTTTTTGGACCCTGACCCCGCGGATCTGCGTGAGGGGTGGCGCCGAATTTCAGAAATGTGGCAAATCCCCTGTGTTTTTGGACCCTGACCCCGCGGATCTGCATGAGGGGTGGCACCGAATTTCAGAAATGTGGCAAATCCCTTGTGTTTTTGGACCCTGACCCCGCGGATCTGCGTGAGGGGTGGCACCGAATTTCAGAAATGTGGCAAATCCCTGTGTTTTTGGACCCTGACCCCGCGGATCTGCGTGAGGGGTGGCACCGAATTTCAGAAATGTGGCAAATCCCATGTGTTTTTGGACCCTGACCCCGCGGATCTGCGTGAGGGGTGGCACCGAATTTCAGAAATGTGGCAAATCCCCTGTGTTTTTGGACCCTGACCCCGCGGATCTGCGTGAGGGGTGGCACCGAATTTCAGAAATGTGGCAAATCCCATGTGTTTTTAGACCCTGACCCCGCGGACCTGCGTGAGGGGTGGCATCGAATTTCAGAAATGTGGCAAATCCCCTGTGTTTTTGGACCCTGACCCCGCGGATCTGCGTGAGGGGTGGCACCGAATTTCAGAAATGTGGCAAATCCCTTGTGTTTTTGGACCCTGACCCCGCGGATCTGCGTGAGGGGTGTCGATTTCGAGCCCCCCCAGCAATTCAGACAACGCGCCCAGGGGGTGCTAAAAAATCCTGTTTGGGCCTCCCCCCCCCTCGCGCGGTCAATCAACTAGTTACAGTAACCAGCAAGAAGCAAACCTGTAACACTGGAAACTACAAGCTACAACTGGTACAGGAAACTGAACCTCGCGCCTACAGCCTGGTGGCCCCACAAGGGGGCCGGCGGATTAGCAGGTGTACATCATTACATAGTTAACGCATCTGAACTATTATATTTGTTGTTGCCCTCTGTAGCCTTGCTACTTAGTCTCACCCTTGTAACTCGTCGAGCCAATGAACTATTCGAGTTTCCCCAGTGATTGGTTCCTGCTTCTTACAAGTCCTACATATCTCGCTCAACATGATTTCAGGACCATGTCTACGTTTGATTATTCTGCTTACCCGAGTGAACTGGCTGTTTTGGAAGGGCTCGCATTCTAAACCGCCCGTTCCCAGGAGGTGGTGGGATTGCAGGGAGGAGCGGATCAGGTTGAGGCGAGGGCTTTTCCGAGGTTGGGGACTCGTGTGCAAAACTGTATTCGGATTGGCGGTTGACAAGCCAGACGTAGCGAGGGGATATCATAGAAGTCCAACGGCCAGTTGCAGCGGGTTCAGGGGGGAGCGGATGTCGGACCGACTGCAACGGGTTGGAAGTAGGCAGGGGGTGACTCAGGTTGAATTTGTCAAGCGCGCTACTTGGCACCGCTCGAACGTGTGAATTTTGTTCTGATGCGGACCTTCGGGGAGCATCCTGGATCACCGAGCCGAATAAATCGGGCACAACACCGAAAAATGCACGGGGAATGGACGACCAATCGATGGCACGCCGATGGCCGGGACTCGGCCTTTTGTCCTACAGTCTAAACCGATGGTAGGATGTCAGACGAAGCCAGGGCGAGGATCAAATCAGATGAGGACAAATCGTGAACATCTGAGATCTTACAGTTCTTGAGGATGTCTCGGGCGCCACGTCCTGCTCAAGAGCGTTCCAGAACGCTTTGGAACGGATTTATTTTCGTTCTAGCCCCGTCCTCGAATGGGTAACCTTCCAAAGGTAACATTGCATCCGTGCGGTGTTGGTCCATCCTTGACGGTTTTCGATGGCCCGCCGCGTTCGAAAAAAGATCAACACTGGCGTCCACGGAGCTTGCCTCCTTATCTCGAGCATGCTTACGATCAGTTTCAATTGCGCCCGCGCACACCCCGCCTGGGGGGACCCTGAGATCCAACGCCGAGAGACGTAGGCGGGCCACATGTGAACGCTACCCCTACCCCCCACGACTTCTGAGGGGGAGGGTGGGGTTCACTTCGCTCGGGAGGGGGAGGGTGGGGTTCGCATGTGGCCCCCTTTTTTTTCCTCACGCGAGGATGGCGTTCACGCGAGGGTGGCGTTCACTTCAAGAGCGCACCGCCGCAGAAGACCACGACCCGACCCCCCAGGCCCCTTTCTGCTTCTGCAGCCCTTCCGCGAGCCAGGTCGGCCCGCCGGGGGTCCCCGGGGCCCGAAGCCGAGCGCAGGCGCCCGGTGCGAACAGATTGCGACGCTCGGGCGAGGAGGAGGAGGAGGAGGAGGAGGAGGAGGAGGAGGAGGAGGAGGGGCTCTTCCTCGTGACCCAAAAGTCGGGCGGCGAGGTCTATACACATCCAGTGCTCCCCGGCCAGGCCCATCCTGAGCTCACGAGCTGTGTGTACGCCCTCCTGGCCAAGCCAGGAGGGCGTGGCGTATGCACCGCTGCTGGGTTGGGGCTGGGCCTGGCCAGGGAGCAGTGGATGTGTATGGATCTCGCCGCCCTAAAAAGGGGGTCCAGCTGAAAGGGGGTGGTGCAGTTGGATTTGGGGTCACTGAATTGCATCTGGACGCCCGAAATGGGCACGGAAAGGATGGGCACAATGCCCAGCAGCAGTTCTTGCTCATTTTGAGCAGGACTCGCTGTCCACGCCGCCGCGGCTTGTATCAATTCGAGACAGAAGGCCGCCTGCCCAACAGCGGCCGCTGTTGGTTTGCGGCAACATGTGCTGTTGGGCATTGTACCCATTTTTTCCGTACCCATCTCGGGCTTCCAAATTGCAGATGCACTGCGCCGGAGAATTGTATTGCAACTCGCGTGTTGCACGCGAAGATCCAGCGGCAAATCTGCGCACCGGAATGTGTTGCACACCCCACATCTACTGCAACCCCGCAAACCTATCGCACCAGATCTATTGCACCACCCCCTTTTCGCTGGACCCCCTTTGGGGGCCAACCAGATCTCTGTGGAGGGCGCCGACCCTCAGGGACCCGGCGCCGAAGCCGGCGTGCAGGGCGACGCCCGCGGTCGACGGCCTCGCTGCCCGGTTGGCCGCCGAGCACGGCGCGGCCGCCCGGGCCCGCCACGTCGTCGCCCAGCTGCTTGGGGCGCCCGCGCCTTCGACGAGGTCGGGCGAAGACTGGGAGCCCCGAAACCAGGTGGTGAGGTATCAGGTGGTGACCTGGTAGCCCCCAGACCAGGTGGCGAGATATCAGGTGGTGACCTGGGATCCCCCAACAGTCACCGCCAAGCTTCGGGACACGGGGTCATTGATGGGTTCTGCGACTCCTGGACCCACCCGCGTTCGGGAAATCCTAGAGAAAAAACACACGATTCCCAAAACCAGGTGGTGACACCAAATCGCCCGAGATTCACCGCCGGGTGTCGTCACCACTACGTCTGGGGAGTGCGAGGAAGAGAGCTATGCACATGCACCGATCCTGGGAAGGCCCATGCTGGCCCCAGAGGATCTCAGGCCCAGTCGAGCAATGAAAACGAGTCGCGACGGAAGGGTCCCTTCGCCTATAGGGGCCCTCACAGGGGGCCTCGGCACCGCCCGAAGGACGCCGCGGGGCGAGGAGCGGGCCCCCCGGGAAGGGGGGCCGAGGCCTCGGGGGGCCGACGCCGTTGCGAGCCTCGGGCCGTCGGGGGTCTGGGAGGACCCCCAGTGGGCCGAGCCGGGAGGGCCCCGGGCCCCGGCTGGGCTCGGCCAGGGCCGGCGTGCGGGTGCGCGGCCCTTCAGAGCCCCGAATCATCAGGGGTAACTCGGGTCAGGGATAACTCGGGTTCGTTTCTCGGGAATCCAAACCCGAGTTACCCCGGATAATTCGGGCGCCCAAGCCCTGTAGCTTTTGCTGCTGCGAGGCCCCTGGCAGAGGCCGAGTTCGCGGCGGCGCTGGCCGGCCTGGGCGGCGAGGGCCGCGCGCGCGGGCTCTTCGCCGAGCTGGCCGGCGGCAGCCCCCCGGCGTGCAGCGTGGCCGCGCTCGTGGAGGCGCTCGAGCAGCGCTGGCTGGGCCCGCGCCCTGGAGGCCCGGGGGGCGCGGGCCCCCGACCTTGCGCCACGCCCTGGCCACGGCGCAGTCCACCCGCACAGCGAGGGCGGGCGACCTTCCCAGGGGTGCCCCGCACATCCGTGCCCCCTCGGCCCATCCCTGGCGGCGTTCGCTGGCCAGCCTCGGTCGAAGAACGTCCGCGTGGGCCCGCAAGGCCCTTGCATCCTTGGGGGAGGGAGGGGAGGGGGAGGGGGAGGGGGAGGAGGAGGGGGAGGGGGAGGAGGAGGAGGGAGAGGA